CGTTAGCTCCGCCCGATAAAATTTGAATATGAATTTAAATAAGCTGCTCAATGATGTATTGGCCCTTTGCTGGTGTCAACTTCAGCAGGCAATTACATTAAGATGTACGTAATGTACATGTTAATTATAATGTACATTAGAGCAGAGCGAAAAAACATTTTTGATAAATCGGCGTCAAAAGTATATATACTTATAAGATGAAAAAAGAGAAAAGCCGCGAGCTGGGCATGAACAAATGATGCCTTTGGGTGGCGTATGGAGCCTGAAGTTTAAATTGAGTAAAAACCATATCGTTATGCTTCAGAAAGAAATCTTTGCAAAATTTCTTGACGCCGAATTGATCGAGCCAATGAATCCTTGCGTTACGAAATTGGGTTAATATTTAAAGTGTATCAGGTGGAGCTAATGATAAGAATCATTCGATTCTTACTACGAAATCAAGATGATTGTTGCCGTTAGAATTTTTTTCGTAATTTTGCTATTGATTTCCCCACTATGCTTCTTTAAAAAGTTGTGATTTGGTCGTTGCAAGAAAATATTTCAATATTGTTTATAATTGTTGAGTATCATTTTGAATTCTACATCAATTTTTACATACATATCATGATTTAAAATTTTTTTTCACATTTACCTCATAAATACAGAATAACAATTAGAAATTTAAAAATAAACTCTTGAACTTTTGTAGATCCACGAGAAATAATTACAGTGAGGGCAGTAAAATAGCAAATAATTAAACTCTATGCTTTATATTTGATGATTTTATGTGTAAGTAGTCATTACATGTACATCGAAACATTGAAAATTGTTACTACCTATACTTTTGATACCGACAGTCACAATCTCGACACTTAAAGTAAAGCAATTGAATTCTGAGGTAACTTTGGAAATGCAGTTTCACGTTAAAGATTAAATAAAACAAACAGGTGGTCATCTTGTAAAACCCTGGACTATGTGACCTATAAATGGTCACAGAATTAAAGTAAATTGTAAAATGTTTTTCTATATAGATTCAGGTTTACAGTTATAGATTGGATTAATGTTTTCTTTAGCAAGTACTATCATTCAACCTTCCTTATATAAAAATTTATAAATATTAGTTTTGGATAAATCAAGTCTTCATTTGATTATCAAGCATTATCAGAATTCATTAAGTGTATTCGTGTACCAATAGTTGCGCGTGTAAAAAAATAGCTACAGCCTTAGGCCTAAAAATATTTTGGCACACATATGAAATTTATAAATATCTTTTGTGTTTTTAAACGTAACCTTAGTCTTTTAGAGATAACATTGAACTAAGTATAAATAATATTTCTTAATTAATTGTAAAATAATTATTTTATGTCTCATTGATATGATTATTTGGTGCATTATTTCAAAAGCGTAATATTGCAATGCATGTCTTGTTATCGAGGCTATTAGAAAAAAATGAAAACTAAGACGGAACTAAGACGAAAACTAAGAACAGAATTCTACCTTCCGAAACTATAAAATTTTCATAAATTACGACCACATTTATTGGCCAGCCGGATAAACATGCAAAATGTCCCCTCAGTGAGCTGTCCTGAACTCAGAATCGATTGTTTTCACTCAATAAATACATTTTTACAAATAGTCTAAAAACAATTGTATATAAGCGAAAAATGTGTCCTTAAATTATGTGAAATTTTACATAATTTCAAATATACGGCAAGTAAACGTGCTAGACAATCATTTTTACCTCTCTAACTATATAAAGGTCACCTTCTAGAACTAAGGTACTCGATTTTTACCCTTAGAATACTAGAATTGTAGCTTCGCTAAACAATAGTTGCACATGAAAATCGTAATAGTAAAATAAAATGTCCCCTCCGTGATCGAAAAATTTTCTAGCAAGCACATTTTGTTTTTGACTCTGGTGGCATGAAAACGTTCGTTTTTACAAACAATTTTTGTGGGTGATCGGAAAAAAAATTTCAACTTTGTTGTCATCGTAAAACTTGATAAAAGGGCGATTTGTCTCCTCCGTGACAAATTTTTGTGTTTGCAAAAAGAAAAAAAACGCATCAGATGATGGTGGATAAAAAGTAAATATTACTTAAAAAAAAACTAAAAAATCAAGTGTCAGAAACTACGGGGGTCCGGAAAAATTAAATTCAAAATAGAAGAAAGTAAGTTTTTCGGTTGTTCCAATATCGTCCATTTTACCAACTCCAAATATCACACTTTTGAAAGAATGGATCATTTAGTGATCTTAAAGTAACAAATAAAAAGCTTCTGAAATACTCCACTGCACTTTATTAATGAAAAACATAATGAAGATAATTCCTTTTCAGTTTATAGCCACCTTAACTATAAACGATAAATTCAGAATCTCTTCTTTGTTTTTACGAATGTTTTACATAATTTGTTAATTAGTACTGTAATAAAAAATAATACAACAAGCTCGAACTGATGGGCTGACAAATAAATGACGCATCTCACAAATGATGCGCTTCGTTCATGAAATGTATCATTTCATGAACCAAGTGAAATATCTGCCTGGGGCAAGACGATTTGCGTCATGTTGGAATCAAGAATTTTGAGTTGTCTTGACTCTTCAAAAAAGCACCCTCTTCCACCCAAGCACAACGAAATTTGAAAAAATGTTGTACAATTTAATGTACATGTCAAAATACAATATTTCATCAACGCTAAATACCGTATTTTAGCTCTTGGAAGAGAGAATAAAAAATGTATTTCCCAATTCCGCTTCACTTTGGCAGAGAAAAGTACTTTTCTAAATATTTAAAGAACTCAGGTCAAAATTGATGAAAAATTCACGTCATAATCCCAAATAAATCCAATTACAATATTTATTATTGTGAAAAAGGCAACGAATTTGGGATTTCAAAGCTTGGGTAGGAGGTTTTACTGGTCAATTAAGTATAGTATGAACACATTTTACTATTAATAGTGCATTACTGCCCTAGGCCGCGAAAAACAGAAAAGCCTCAGATTACATATAATTAGAGGCTGAGGCGAAGCCGAAAAAAAACAATTTTCTACAATTTTGATTTATGTGTCCATTTTTAGCTCGAAACACCATCTTGTACCCCATTCTGTTACTCGAGGATTAATTGTACGTGATGAAAAGACCAATTAGAGATCGCAACAAGAAACATGAATGAAAATTTCAGTCCCGTTAATAAATATATTAAGTCAATGGTCTTATCTCTTTTTCAATGTTCTTATTCACCATTTCCAAATTTCTGATTTCCTAATCCAAAAAAATCAATCATAAAAAAGAACTTTAACCTTTGAGAATTTTTTTCTTGAAAAGGGATAGTTTTTGTACATAAATGCAAAGGACATGAAAACCTTAGATTAATTAAAGAATGCATGTTGATTTTTTCTGAAGTTGTAGAAGTTTTTATCGAAAATTGGACACAAAGTCTTGACTATAGGCAGAATTTAGAAGTTTTTCACGTTTAAAAGACGACTTCTGATTTTTGACTATGACTTGAAAAAAAAATTGAATTCAGCAAAACAGCTTGCACGAGCGTATCTTACGAGATATTTATCAACTTTTTTGGCAAAAAGAAAAAAAAATCGATTTTATAGTCGTTTTAGATGATGATCTCCTCATAAGCTCAGCGAAGCCTCTGACGTATGATAAATTGAAAAATTCAAATAAAAGCGTGACTGCAGGCGCAGTTATAAGTTGTGACGCTTCGTTTAACTAAATTATTGGATCGTAAGACGTCTTTAGTCGTGGGTATGCTGCTCCGAAGAGGATACTTTTCGAATAAAAAACGTTTAAATAAAAATTATTCAAGATTATTGCAGGGGTTTAGAACTGAGTGTACAATTTCATCGAATAGCCCAGTTACTTGGGGTACGAAAAAAAAATTTGGAGTTATAAATTTTACCTGAAATGAAAATATAATATTAAAAGATATGAAATAAAATGTTAATACATCATAATTTTATTTTAATCGATATTTATTTAAATAATATCTCATGGTGGTTAAAAATTGGGCGCGAGGAGGTATACCGTCAGTAGTTAGGGCATTCACCTTATTATTGATTTTTGTAAGCCTACATTTCATTTTCACTTATTTCTTGTGAAATTAATCACTTATTAGGTATCATAAAAAGAGTGTTTTAAAAACATAATTTATAGTACAAAAAATTAATAAGAAGTATTAATTGATTATTACAGAATGAATTTATGACTTTGAATGCATCTTTGTAAAATTAAAAATGACATTTAAGTATTTGGGTGTTTGGTTACTGGTCCCTGAAAATGGAAAAACTCTAGTTATGAGAGAAACATTTTTATTTTTCACTTTGTTTTTCGCACACGTCTAAACTGTGGAACCAACTATCGACTAAATAGGCAGACTTTTTTGCCGACTTTCAAATTTTTCAAGCACATAATATAAAGACATAAGACAAAAATTATTAAATATTTTATTTCGAATCGGGCCTGAACCCATTTAAAGTAAAATTTTTCGTTTTGTGTTCAAATGTATGTAACACCAATTCAAAAATTTGACTAATAATTCAATTTGAAAAATCGATAATATCTTTTCAGAATCCAAGCACGAAATTACAATTAGAACATCGATTTCAGAATTTTTTGCGTACAACGTTACTGTAAATACTTCATAACACATAAATTTATGTAATTAAAATTCATATAAAATTCATATAATCATGGACCAGAGTGGACTCAAATATTTGAACGATCTGAACTTTTGTACCTTATTATTATTTATTTCTTTATTTTTATTTGATGAATTTCCATTAAAAACTAAATATTTCACACTGCTTAAACAATGCTAAGGGGATCGTATTTTAACTTTGGATATTCTACTTTACGCCTTTGTATAATTTATTTGACACATATAATATCTTAAGGCTGGACTTGACGCGATACACTAACACAGACGCATCCATTACAGTACGATATAGGCAAAATATTGGTTAGACGTTAAAGTTCTACCGAACTCTTCATAACATAACAAGCGGTAATCATGGCGCTCGCGGAAGTGTGTGGATTAAATTCATTTATGAATATAAATAATTCTCAAAAAGACGAAAAATTCAGTCATGAAGTTGAGATTGCGAATTTCACCAATAATTTGTCCTTAGAGATGCCACCATTTAGCAATGTAAGTTGTTATGTTCTTATTAAATATTGTTATATTTTGTTTAGGTAATTGTTTATAATTATATTACTTTTGATTCTTAAACCAAGTATTTTTATCAATTTCTTTAATGAATTATTCAAAAACTTTATACTAAGACTAGATAGTTAATTCAACTAAAACATTAAAATTTATCAAAGACTTTGAGGTTACCTCGCAATGACTACAGAGTTTTACACTCTTGGAATTTAATTCATTGTCTTGTAAATATTTCAGCCAGCTAATTTTTTGGGACAGCTTGGTAATGAAACTGATGAAACTGGTAAACATTTGAAGATTCAATTTGATCATGGAACTACCACCTTAGGTTTTATGTACCAAGGTGGAATAGTATTGTCAGTAGATTCTCGTGCAACTGGAGGCCAATTTATTGGTAAGCAGATGCACTTTTCATTTTTTACACAGTACATGTGATATTAAATTTTATATTAAAATAATCTATTTATGTTTGTAATATACAATTTGAAATTTTCTGTACAGGTTCGCAAGTTATGAAAAAAATTGTTGAGATAAATGATTACTTACTGGGCACATTAGCTGGAGGAGCAGCTGATTGTGTTTATTGGGATAGAGTCTTAGCTAAACAATGTCGCATGTATGAACTTAGAAATAGATCACGCATTTCAGTTGCAGCTGCAAGTAAACTAATGTCCAATATGGTATATAACTACAAAGGAATGGGTTTGAGTATAGGTAATTATTAGATTTTTCAAAAACAATCAATATCTCAGTATGATAATTTTGTGATGTGTCTAATAGTTATTAATAATCTTAAACATTATAGGTATGATGATTGCTGGATGGGATAAGCAAGGTCCTGGTTTATATTATGTTGATTCAGAAGGCACACGTACACCAGGAAAAGTATTCAGCGTAGGCTCTGGTTCTATCTATGCTTATGGTGTCCTGGATTCTGGATATCATTGGAATCTAAAAGATGAGGAAGCTTACGAACTTGGTAGAAGAGCTATTTATCATGCAACTCACAGAGATGCTTACTCTGGTGGTATCGTTAGAGGTAATTGTCATTTCCATTAAAAATTCATTTTAAAAGAATAGAAGTAAAAAGAAATTTTATCTCTACAGTTTACCATATGAAATCCACTGGTTGGGTTCATATTAGTGATCAAGACTGCAAGGATTTGCATTATGCATATGCAGAAGAAAAAGAAGTTTAATTTATCAATAATATTTTATTATAACATTTCATTAATTCTTTAATAATAAACGTGTCTAATTGATTATAATTCAATTGCAAATAGTTCATTTTAATGCATTAATTACTCGAATTGATAATTTTAATAATAGAAGATCTCCAAAAGACAAAGAAATAAAAGTTATTGTTTTATGTATGAAATTTAAAAAAAATTATCTGGAATACCTGATATGTAAAAAATTTTTTATTCAATACACAGTGTTCATTACGTATTTTCATAAAATTTTAAATTTTAATCTGAAATTGAAAACAAAAAGTAGGAAGATAATCGAAATCGCTCCATACTTATTTACAAATGCGAAACGAATTACAAACGAATTGTACCCCTCTTCGACCTCCCACCCGCAGGCCGCAGCCGCGATGTAAACACACACTTACATGCATATAGCATATATGCGAAGTATCATGCATGTGTTCCCGCGCTTCATTGGCAATACCACTACACAAGTATATATTTTCAGTACCAAGTTGCAACGCAGCGAGAGACGAGTAACTGCGTTCTTATTGAACAGGTTTTGATGCGCATATTTTACGTATAGTTGCATTGTAACATATTGGACATTTTTTGTCTTATAAAGTCAAAAAAGTTATCGACTATCATTAAAAAATATGTCTAGTCCTGAAGAATCAAGTCTCAAAGCCGGTCATCCACCTGCAGGTATATTATGATTTTTTACCGTTATTATTTCGTAAAAAAATTTATCTTTAAAAGATCGCGCATTAGAATAAAAAAATGAATTTCCTACACATTTTTTATGTATAATTACATGATCATTGGGTTTATAGTCAAGGCCGGTGGTATGAGAATAACGCAACATAAGCATTCTGACAAAGAACGCGAAGTCAAACCTACAAAGGATCCTGAAGAACTCAAGACATCTACCAGGTAATAATTTTTGTTCTGGTTTCCTCCATTTTGTTCTTGTACGAGCGGTGCTAGTATTTTGATGATATGTTTTGGTTACTTGTAAAATTTTAAAAAGCTCTTTTTTATTAATAATAATTCATCAAAACTGAAAAGAATGATATGATTCAGTCCTGTATTATTTTATGCTAAGAAGCATAATGTAATTTCTTTGAGTTTTTTGTATTTAATAGTGTGCAATGTTTCATCGAAAAGTCTTTGGTAGGTAAATACTCATTAATGCAAGTTTTTAATATGTTTTAGCCCTCCAAAGGCAATGATTGTTAGTGGAGTACAAACCAAAGGACATGCTGATTTTCCTCCTGAAGCTGTGCAACATTATCATGATAAACCTGTTCCAACTCATGAGGCCCGTTCATCTAATTATTCAAGACCTATTGTTATTCAGCAACCGAGGAAGTAGAATGCCAGCTGGGTTAAAGTTTCTTTAAAATTTAAACTTTATAAGAAGTTCAAAATTACAACATTTTACTTAATTCAAAAAAATTTTACTTGATTATCAAATGTGAAAAGCATAAAAACTATATTTATTATTTTATTCAAAACATCTTTTTCATATGCATAAAACAATTGCAACAATAGTATAAAGTTTATTTCATTGTAAAAAAGTATTCATTTTAAAAAGAAATATGATTACTCTTTCACTTCGCCATATGCATTTAACTTTTGAAACTTGAAGGGTGTTTCTAAAAAACTTTTTAGAGTTTATTATTGTTAATAGAAAACTATTTTTTCTAAAATATTCCATGTATGCATTTAACATGATGATACTAAACATTGATGTACAATAAATATTACTTAGCCAGAAGAGTATTTTAATATAGATCCAGTTTTATTTATAAGGGCAATTTTTAACAATTATAAACATTATAAAGTTTATTTTAAACTCAAAAGAACTTAAAATATATCAAAGAAATACTTATTCTATTAATTTTGAAGAATATTATTTAAATGAAAATAAATTGTTAATTATGTAATTAATTTTTTTCAATCAAAATTATTTCAATATATTCATATTGTATGAAAACCATTCTTATAGTTCTACAAAAACGTTAACGTTATTGGTTAAAATGATGCACACTTATCAATTTTGCATTAAACAATTTTTTCAATTTTATTCTGACTCGTCATCATTCTAAATTATATTAAATCAATTTCAATAACCCTTTGAATTGTTAGCAAAATTCAAGATTTATGTAGATTTAAATTTTACAAAAAAATGATTCAGTTTGAAACCTCTGAGTAAAAATTATTATTAAAAAAAATATTTTGTAACAATTTTGTCCTACTGAATTGTGATTATTTACACAAAAAAATATTTACCAATTCCTTTCGAATTTCAGGAGATTGTGTTTACCTAAATAGCTCGTTTATTTTTCGCATCATAAATCAGTAATCGTTAAAGGTTTATTTTTGTACCATTCCTAAAAATCACGAAGAATTCGTGTGCTATTGATATTAAAAGTTTGCTGTTTACAGTAAATAAATCTAAACTAAAAAGAGATTCTTCGATTGGTGGTCAGTCGAGTAAAAATGTTTCTTTTTTTACTTTGGTAAAAAAAATAATGCTTACAAATTAATATAACATTTCTTTACTAAGACGCATTTAGTAGAATGATACGGTTGTTATGTAAAGTATGTACTTGTACAATAAGCGAGCACAATTCTTGATGGATAAAATATTTGCACGTGTGCGATGCACGTTGGTATCGTCACCTGGGCAACGGTCAGCTTATATAGATCATAAACATACCCGAAAGAATGAAATCGTGACTACTTTTTACTTGGTCACATTATTGAAATTATTCACTCTTGCCATTTTCGGTGTGCATCGGGGTCTGGTGTGGACCAAAAGACCACTCAAACACAACAGCGTAGCCGATCATTCACTGGACCTCGTGAATCTATGACCAAAAAACGCAGTGCTTTATGAATGAAAAATGCAAGTTATAAAGAGCTTAATGCCGGTCGTCCATTCTAAACAATATATCAGCTGAAGCTGATATTTGGTGGCAGATTTTCTAGTAAAATTGTGATTTAATTAAGTTTCAAATTATTAAAGCTTTCATCAGTATGTCTGGCAAGAGACAGGCTGACAAGCACTCAGAAATCGATGTGCACGTAACCAAACACTACGATATTATTCGACGTCTTGGAAAAGGAGTAAGTCAAATAAATTTTAATCTTTGTAGATTAAATCAATAATTTTATTAGCATGAAACTATTATGAAGCAGTAATTTTTTAACATTTTTTGAGAAATTTTTTTAACATTTGACCAACTCCATTGATTGATTGTCCGTTAGCAATAACAAAATTGTTTTAAATTTAAGTAAACCAGAATTTAATAAAAGTATTATAACTAAAAAATATCGATTAAAATATTTTGCATTTTACGTCGCTTAGATTCATCATTGAGTCTAAAATTAAATCGATATTGAGCTTAAATTATCAAATCCATTACTTGATGTTTAGTTCCAAAATAAAGAGTAGCGAATTCTAATATATTTGTGAAAACAAATTTATATTATATGCGATTGTTTCTTATGATATTTTAAGCAATATGAGTCTTTTTAAAGCAGAATAAAATCAATATTTCAAGTTCACGTAGTGATATGGACAAAACAATCTACTTTCTCATCCAATGCTTTCCCTCTTTTACCTCTTAATATTAATCGATAACTATCTTACATTAAAAATAATCTACGCTATTCATTTGAAAATATTCATGAAAAAAACTATTTTTTTAAATAATTCGATGTAATATTATATTTCTTTTTAAATGCCGGTATTTAAAATACTATTTTTACTTTCAGGCTTATGGAATTGTATGGAAAGCAATTAATAAACGTTCAAAGGAAACTGTGGCCGTTAAAAAAATTTTCGATGCTTTTAGAAATCAAACAGATGCGCAACGCACTTTTCGTGAAATAATTTTTTTGATATCTTTTGTCAAGCATGAAAATATTATAAAACTTATTGATTTGCACAAGGCGAATAATGATCGTGATATTTATCTTGTATTTGAGTATATGGGTTGGTTAACATTTTTACTAATTTTTCATATACTATTACGATTTTTATTAATTTATTAAAATTTTAGTTAAAAAAAAACAATAATCTTTATGTACTTTACAGAAACTGATCTTCATAATGTAATAAAGCGTGGAACTATTTTAAAAGACATTCACAAAGTCTTCATTATGTATCAATTATTTAAAGCTATAAAATACATCCATTCTGGCAATGTGATTCATCGAGATCTGAAGGTAATTCATCCAATATGCATATAACTTGCACTTTTTCGACTCCACTGTATTGATTGCAGTAACTGTATAGTTTTCGCTCGATTGTATAAATAATTTTTAAAAAATTTTAAATACATTATATTCTTATTTTTATCAAAACTAGCCTTCGAACATATTGTTGAATACCCAATGTCACTGCAAAATTGCAGACTTTGGATTAGCCAGATCAGTATGTCAGCTCAATGAAAGCGATGGCGAGTTTGGAAGCGACCCCACTTTGACCGACTACGTTGCTACACGATGGTACAGAGCTCCAGAAATTTTAATAGCTTCAAAAAGGTAATATATACGACCGATTCTCAGGATGTTGAATAGCTAAAAAAATTTTTTTTTCTGTAAAAATAAAAAACTTTTTGTTTCCGATGCCAGAAATCTCCCTAAATTTTATTAGCATTTGTGAGACTGTCTATTATTATTTTTCAGAGGCCTAAAGTTGGCATTCATTATTATCGCAAATATTGAGCTTATTCCTAGACAGGATAAAATGACTTGAACGAAGAGAGCTTTTTTGTTGAAAATTTTTCAATTATTAGGAAAAAATATTCGAAACTTATCAATTAAAAGAAGCACAAAACACAAACTCTAATTGAGTTTGATCCGGACTTTCATCTCCAAAAAAGTCATAGAGCTTTTTCAAAGTTTCAACTACGTTCTAAATTTCGAATTGAAGACGAACGGCCAAAACTCGCCAGAGGGTGTTGAAAAATGGGCAAAAAACATCGAAAGTAGGCCAAAAAAGCGTTAAATTGCCCAAAACAGCATTAGCATCTTGAGGAAGCTCTGTGAATTTTTTGGAGATGAAAGTCCGGTTATAATTGATTAGATTTTAAGTTTTGTTTTTCTTTCTATCGTACTAGCCTTTGAAGTGCTCGGACACTTTAGAGTATGTTTCGGAAAATATGAACAATTTCCAAGAAAACAAAAAAGAGATCTTGTACTTTTTCGTTTAAGTCAGTTTATACGGAGCTATATAGTGATTAATGTTTAATTATGAAAAAATTTAAAATTTTTATTATACTAAAATAATTTATTATTTTCCTTATCACTCATATGTCAACAATAGGTACACAAAAGGAATCGACATGTGGTCATTAGGGTGCATATTGGGTGAGATGCTACTTGGAAAACCTTTATTTCCAGGATCGTCAACTATCAATCAAGTTGAAAGAATCATGGCTACACTTCCGACACCGACAGAAGAAGGTTCTAATATTTTACCTTTTTCGTATACAGAATAATTTCAATTACCAAGTGATAAATTATTTACATTTGAAACAAAATATATAAAGCAGAAATATTTTTAGATTTATTATCTATCAGTGCGGGATATGGAACAAGTTTGCTTGAAAAAACCCCAGCTACTCCTCATAAATCACTCAATGATTTACTTCCTGGAATATCTAATAAAGCATTAGATCTTATCAGTAATTTGATTGTTTTTAATCCTAATCAACGCTTGACGGCTATCGAGGCTTTAGAGCATCCATACGTTGCAAGGTAAATATTTATTCATTTAATTATTTTTTTTACCATTAAACACGTTTATACTTAAAAAATGTATTTGAAGAAGTATATTCATTATAATAAAATTAATTATGATATCATCTCTAAAAAGCACGTTATTTTGAGGGGATAGAAACGATTATGTTACTAAAGAGAGCTCACTCTATTATATGTATTTATTTCTAACGACTAGTATTAAAGCAACAAAATGCACCTTGATTAAGAATAACTACAGATTATGAATTGAACATTTTTTGCTGAATACCTACGAATATCTAATTTATCTATGCCATTACAAGACACGTGTTTATCTCGAGAATTCGTTGATCACAGAGGGAATGTATTATTTTTTTATTGCGATTTTCTTGTGCTACTGTTATTACAGCGAAGCTGCTATTAAACTAAAGAAAATTTTCAGGAAAACTCATTTTGAGTTGAGGCTAAGTCTCGAAGGAGACATTTTGCATGCTTATCAGGGCAGAGTGAAAAAACAGTTTTGATCAGAATGACGTGTTAGTATGAAAATAGCTTTAGTATAGAGTAAAAAATGATAGGAAACGGAAGGAGGGTGCGTACAAATGATATCTTCTGTGAAAAAATCGAAATCAAAGTTCAAAATGTTCTATTTAGCTATTTTTAAAAAGAAGAACGAATTGTATCGATTAAATGCGACATTATTATTAGAATTTATTAATTGCGCGGGAGGTTTTCGTGCTTGCAAAATGAATAGTCCTCATCGATTGGATACATAAATTTGGCCGATTTTTTGCAAAATTGAATATTTACTTCGAGACTGTTTGCTTCTAAGTTTAAAATGACACCTTCCTGCGCTTGTTGGCGGGGCGACGGCTTCTACGCACCCATCTTCCGTTTTCCATTATTTTTTCACCAATCTAACGCTCTATTGCTATTAAAAAGCAATCCTAATTATTTTCGCGTTTTCCATGAACTGTAGCATGAAGACACGAATTAAAGTACTTTTGAAACCTTATTAAAAAAGTAAATATTTCTGTTGATGAAAAAGATTTTTAATTTCTGTTTGTAGTTTTCACGTAAAAGAAAATGAACCTGAAAAAGGATCGAGTGTTATACCATTTTTAAGAGATGATGTTCAATTATCGGTTGAAGAATATCGAAATAAATTGTATTCAATGATGGATCAAAAGTCAAGAAGACACAAATCGTAAGTAGTAATGTTTTCATAATATTCAAATTATGATAACACAAAGTCATATCGTTACTTTAAGTGTTGGTTAATCTATTTTCTTTTTGAAGATCAAAATCAAGATCAAAATATTCAACTGAACTAATGAAAACAGATTACTGTAATTTTAAACAATGTGGTGATTCAAGGAAAAAAAGTTTCCATTTATCCTGTGATGACATTCGAAAAGATAAAAGTAAGAGTGATACTTTGAAAGCATTATTTTTAGAAGGTGAGGAATTCAAAAATAATATGAACTATGACAATTTGGTCAAAATGAAAAATCTTATTGATGCATTTCCATCTTGGGATATAGTCACAATATAAAAAGAAAAACTATGTATAGTGATCCAACAAGGAGATCATCACCTTTCCGTGTCACAGATCCTTTTGAAAGTTTTGTGGGGCTGCTCATTCCTAATATTGAAGCTCTCAATGCTTCGTTTAATTCCACAAGCTTTCGAGACCATTTAAAAAATGATTATTTATTACTAAAAATTCGATTTTTTTTCTAAAAAAAGGAATGATTGTAGAGAAAACCCGCTCCCAATTCATTGGCAAAGATCTTCGTCATAGAGAAATATTTATGTATGGCCACTAATATTAACTAACTAAACTTTTATTATTGATAAATTAATGATAAATCTTCAATTGAAGTTGATAAAAAGATGATGTGCTAAAAGTACATTGCATTCCGAGTACATTCACAACGTATCGATCTTAGCCAAAAGACTAAGAAGGCTGACGTACAGGCATTTGTTGGGAATTCAATTTAGTTTATAAAAATGTACAGAAATGATTATAAGATTCCTGGTTCAAAATCTTATTTTCGAGTCAATCACAAAGCTTCCTGTATCACAAAGCAAAAAGGAGTGACCGTTTTTTCATTGTACTTTTTCCCCATGAAAACGATTTTTTAGGGGGTACGTTCTAAAACTGTTTAAAATTTTTTTTGGAAACTAATGACTATTCTTGGAACTATGATTATTCTTTGATTGATATCAATACTTTTTTGTTCACATAGTCCTTTAGATTAAGCTAAGCTGAAGGGCTTAATTATTAAGTACCAGGAGCCCGAAAAAAACTTGTAAGGGATCTGTGATCTAAAGTCGAACTTGTCGGTTAAGCGCAGATGGGTATAATTTTAAACTCAAGAGGCTAAGAAAGGCTCAAGCAGAATTAATTATCAAAGGATGTCATCATCGTAGGAATTAAGAGCCTTTTTTGCCTCTTGAATTTAAGACAATACCTTTCTGTGCTGGGCGAAAAGTTTTTTTTGTAAGTTTGAAAAATAGAAAATTTTGATATTCACATGAATTTTTCTTTTTGTTACGACAGGAGAGACTAAATACATATCTAACAATGATAGTTGTGGAATACATGGCAAAGAAAGCAAAGGTAAATGACAAATAAAAATATGTACTAATTGTATTATCATCGTGATTGATATTTTAAAAATCGTTTAGAGCACTCTAACCTAAAAATCGCAACTTGAGCGATAGTTTGAGGCTCTTTAGACTATAAAAAATTGTATCAAACTTGTGTGAATAAGCTTTTTTTCATACCAGTGGCCCGAGAGTACTACTTCCCGGCCGCTGTACAAAACGGGAAGAGCTATTTTCAGGCCACGGTGTATGAAATAGTATATTACTGCCCTAGGCCGTATAACAATGCTAATTGACCTCGGCTTCGCCTCGGTCGCTTATTTCACGTCCCTGGGAGTTTTCTATTTTTCCCGGTATAGACCAGTATACGATTTTACATACCCCGGGCCCGAAAATAGCAATAACTATTGTTCAATAATTATCATAATAACTATTATTCAATTTTCAATTACATTCAGTGATAAGCGAAGAGATAATCCTATGCGATTATTCAAAGTTAGTAGTGGTATTTAAAAAAACCTTACTTATGGCTCTATTTGCCTGGCCGTCTCCATCAAATTCAAGACGCTCATAATCGTCATATATTTAATAATAATAAAGTATTCAAAGTTTTGGTCGTTAGTAGTCTTTCATTTAATGCGTCTACAATGAATTTGCTCATATATAATCTTTCTAATAACATGCAAAAAATTTACTCAATTGAAAGCTAATAGTTTGAAACGAGAATCTTTTAGTTTATTCAATACTTGACGGGATTTATTTGATTTCAATAATATCATAGCCAAGAAATTGATTATCGTTTACGAGTTGAGATTACCAATTGAATAGTTTAGGAACATAAGTTAGCATAAAAATATGAAGATTAGATGGGCCTACATGCTCATAAATGTTTTTTTTAAAAAAAGAGTTTATGGGATTTCGGATTATTATACTACTATTATACGTATGCTTATGATACATGTAGAAAATTAAAAAAATATTTCTTGACGATGATATTCATGCAAAAAGATCGCGAGTTCCTGGAAAAAATCATCGTCGAGTCCAAATTTCGACCTAGTGCGTCGAGCGGACTACCCTGAGAGATTTACGTACAGCAACATCGTGACTTCCCAGAGAAAGTCAACTTCGATTACGGATTCCAACCTAGTGAGTCGGGCGGGCTGCCCGGGACGATATTCGTGGGAAAATATCGCGACTTTCCGGAGAATTTTCGATATATGCGACATATACGCGACAGCGCATATACACATACACACAATGCAATGCGTATGAGGTGTGACTACTTAGGTGTGCTCATTTTTCATGCTTCTGACCTGTCTTTTTTTTTTTTTTAATTAAGTATTAATTTACAATCTGTCGTGAGACAATAAGTAAGATTTTTTTACATTTAATAGCGATGATTACATATTATACGTGTGACCGTAGGTCAATTGTAACCTCATATCTTACCCCCGACGTACCTCGTCGGTTACGTGTGTCCCTTGGCTCTGTGGATCCGTTCTGCACGTCCGGGGTCTACCTGTAAGCTTCATGCAATACGGGAAAGGAAAGCTCTGTACACTCACACACCCATCAAGAATCAAACACTCCATATAACAATAACAACTACCAGGTTTATTCGTATAAAACAAACAATATACACGGCTTCAGAGAGTACCCGAATACCCGGTCGACGGCAGACGCGACGATCGTAGCCCTGGTGGGCGCGTCGGCGCGTACGACTGACAAATACAACGACTAAGAGCTGGGCCGCCCGACTCACCACGCGATGTCGAGATCTTCTCCTGGTCCAGATCCACCCTTGGTCGTCCTTGTGGTCTGCTCGGCCGTTGGATCCGCTGGTTCTCTCTCGCGCACTCGGATCGACTCGAACCGGCACTCGCACTCTTTACTCGGGCGACGTAGGATCTTACTCGCCGTGCGGTACTCGTCAATCCGACCTAGACATCCCCAGGATGTCGCGCTCAACTCTCACACTTGAGCTCCGTTCGCTCTCAAGGCAAATCTTCGACTCCCTTCTTCTGTTCACATGTACGCTCTCGTATCTCAACGTATACACGTGTTTACGTTCTATTCTTTCACACTTGGCGCTCACATGAAATCATATTCAAAATACAATTATTAATAACGATTCTTATAACTAACTATACACTCGGCAAGTCGACGATGGTTCGTCAGGGCGGCCCAACAGATAATGCCAGTTTCGGCATTACACAATCATGTACGGTCCATAGCTATTTAACGCGATGCTCCGATGTTCCCAGTGGACTCGTCCGGATGTGGTCTGATTTAAGTTGAGCTTCTCACTTTAATAATGTTGTTGTTATCTAAAGTAGTGAACCGTTCGAAAATTCGAATACCTCATATCGATAGAATTTTTTCCAAGAAATCTGATGGGCTTATCAGATTCTCGATATCTCTTATCAAATTCAAATGAGAGCGAAAAGAAAGTTGGCAGAAAGTTATGGGCTGTATATATGAGTAGTGGCGTGTCGTCACTTAGTTCCTGTCATATTTGCCAGGTGGAGCGCGACACGCGCTCCTCGATCTTTATGCAATGGGTGTCGCTATGCTTTTTTCAAAACGAGGAGTTGCTGATTGAGCCGAAGAAAAGTGCTGTAACGAGTTTTGCACAAAGACTCCGAGGTAGTTCTTTTCGTTGAGGTGCTTTTTAGGCACGTAAGCTGTAATAGGCAGAGTGTGGGAGTGCGAGACATCCTGACCACAGCATTAATAAACAAACCTTATCTTTTATCTTTTTATTTACTAAAATAATAAGAGTCTCATTATTCGTGGCCCTCCCAACCCTATTTATTACATAATATTTTATAACTCAAAAGCCTAAAACTAGCGACACAGTTGCGATTTTTAGGTTAGAGTGCTATAAAATAGTTAATATTGATTATTGATCGAATTTACGGACGTGAGAGAAAATAGGAGCAGTAATCTTGAAAGTATATTTAAAAAATCTCCGAAATTTTCTATTTAAAATCTTTCTGGAAGGTTCGGTGACAACGATAAATACATTTTGTTATTTGTACTTATGTAATAATGAATTTAATTTCAAATAATTATTTGAACAATTTTGATATAATGAAAAAGATGCTTTAAAAATGTTCATTTTAGTTAAATATTCATCAACGCCATCCATGAAGCATTTGCCACAAAATATGTCAGTACAATATGCCTACAACACGATGAACAGTAACTACAAAGGCTTCGGACGTAATCAAGTAAAAAGTTGTTCATACCTTAGTCATCAGCAACATCCGCAAAACAAATCTCAGCGATCAGTGCAGTCTGATAAAGTAAGTTATTTTTAAAATTACTAACGCTTCGTCTTCACTCGTTGTCGCTCGTTCGGTACTTCTATAGTACTTCGGTAGTTCTATAATAGTTCTATGTATAATATTTGAAAGACTTACAAAAACAAAAGGCACAATTAAACGTAATACGTTTTGTTTTTTCAAATTTTCAATAAAAAATCTGGAAAAATTTTTTTCTTGTTTTTTTCAATCAAAATATATAACCTCAAATTTTTTCAGATTTTTTAATTGAAGGCGGTAGCTTGTAGAGCCGAAAAATTTTATTTTTAACAGAAAAGGTTCCTAGAACCCAATGGTTCCAGTAAAAAAATTTAAAAATATTTTTTTTGAATACGTTGTAAAATTTTAATAAATTTTGACTGTTTCAAGTTTTTGATTGAAGCCTACTATCAAGAGCATCACAAAGATTAATGCAAAATTCTGAAGACGTTTCTGAATACATTAAGGAATGATAAAACTCTTTCGAAGCTTTAGATTGAGCTAGGATGCTTCAATCAGAAACTTGAAACGGTAAAAATTTATTAAAATTTGACAAGAAATTCTAAAAAAATATTTTCAAGTTTTTTTTCAGAAGCTATAACTTTCAATTAAAAGATCTGAAAAAATTCGAAGTTATGTTTTTTGATGAAAAAAAGACAAGAAAAAATTTTTTTCAGATTTTTCGAGGATCCGTATCGCCCTAAAAAAATTATTTTTATCAAAAAAAGGGGTTTTTGGCTTCAAAAGGTGCGTTCACATCTCTGAAAAAATTTGAAAATATTTGAGGTTACTTTTTTCAATGTAATAAAAAAGTAAAAAAATTTTCGAAAAGGTTATTGCATCTTAACGCCGTACATGAACTTTTAAAATTTTCAATGATTTTTTCTGAAGGCCTAAAGCACTAAACAAATCTGAAAAAATTCAAGGTTGTTTTGATTATTGAAAAATATTCTTGTGAATTTTTGCAGATTTTTCAATTGCTTCAGGGCTTCAGAAAAAATATAGATAGAAAATGGACGTTTATAGAGGAGGAGGGGGTCCGAATTTTTGGTTTTGGCACTTTTTTATCATGTACTATAACATACCAAAATCGCGTCAAGATCGGTGACATACGTGCGGACGAAAATTTAAAAAAGTATTATTTTGACCCATAAATATAGTAAAATATTTTCATTTTTTTAAAAAAATTTTCTTATCTTGACCTTCAAATAACTTCGAAAATAAGCAAATCAGAAAAACAGGTTGGATTTAAATTTAGCGATAAAAACATAAAGTCTACTAGGACTTTGGAACTGAATATTTTTTTTGTGTCCCTATGGTTTAGAAATTTTTTCATATGCACCCTAGAAAAGCAGAGTAACAAACAGAATATCCTCAAGACATGAAAATCCAACTTTTAGCCCCTGTAGATCCATGAGGGTTGGACCTAAGGGGCTGTGGTGTTCAGGATTTTCATTTTCCATTGTGTTCTTGAAGAGTAAATGATTAGTTTCAACTTCATTTTTGGGTCTGTAACACCTGTTGTGGAATAGCCCATATATTAGCATTACAGTATATGTTTGAAAAAAAGCAATCAATATAAAATAAATAATAAAAATGTTTTCTCGCAAAAGAGCTGCTAATAGTTATGTAGATCTGCAATCTACTTTAGATGAAACATTTTCTAAAAATTCAAATAATTTAATTAACTTAGTGAGTGATTATTTAAATTATGAAAGTGATATTAGTTCTGATGAAAGTGATAATGATGAAGATTTGCAGTGCAATGGAATAATCAAATGTCGAAAATACCAACTATCAGACTGACTAGAATGTACTGTACTAGATGTAATAGTGCGCAATATGTTGTATTTTGATAATACCCTTATAAAAATTTCCTATAGGATCTCGCGAAATTCCTACAGGAGTCCTATAGGATTCCAATAGGAATTTCGCGGGATCCTATTGGAAATTTTTATAAGGGTAAATATAAAATTAACACATAACTTATTTTCATTTTTAATTTCTTTGTATTTTATTATATTTTAAAGTAATATTTTGAAATCAGAAAACTTCAGGGTCATTAGAGGCCCAAATATCGACGCTTTTATCGAAAAATAGTACGTTTCTATCGATTTTATAATGTAAACGTGCTAGTTTTCGTTAACAGTGTCGATATATCGAGTTTTGCACGTGAGAAAACGCATTTAAGAAATTTTTGCAGGTCCTGATGAGGCCCAGAATGACCCTGATTTCAGAAAATACTAATCTGGGCCTGTATTGAACCATATTATATTTCTAGTCAGGGCCAAGGCTGGAACTAGATTTGGCCCAGATGATCAAATCAGACGACTATCCTGGCCCATAACTACGCCGGCGTTGTATTTCCAGTTGGGAGTACACTTTTGTGACATTAGATCTGACACGCAGGAGGAACGTAAACATAGCGAAATAGTGCGCGTTATGTTTACGTTTTACCCGTGTGTCCGATCTAATGTCACCCAAGTGTACATAGTAAAGGAATTTCAAAGCCAAAATTTCCTTCCGTATAAACGTCCATTTCCTATCGATAAAGCTATTTTTTACTTTGAAAATCTGGAAAAATCATGAAGTTACATTTTAAAAACACGAACTACCTTGAATGTATTCAGATTTTTTAGATGCTTCAGGACTTCAGAAGAGAACATTGATCATTTTTAAAATTTATAAACGGTGCTACAATGCAACACAAAGCCTGCAAATTTTTTCACTTATTTTTGGTATTCGGATTCCTGAGGGTCGAAAATATAAATGCATCGTTTGTAAACGTTCTAGCCATTGCAGCTTCTTAGTTACATTTCCTAAACTATAATACCTTGACCAAAGTCGCTCGGTCGTGCACTCGAAAACGTTAAGCAGTCTTCGAAATTGACGAAGCATGAACCTCCTCTCATAGTGCAATCTTTTTCTGCTTCACGATTTATGATTAAATCCCTTTCCCGAGTAGAAGCTAGAGCTTCAAATAATAATATTAAAAATAGTTATTTATTCAACAAGTGCCCGAAAGGCGTTTTTGGGCACGAGCGTGCGGAAAAAGACATGAGTGTCGGCCATACCGGCACGAGTGGGTTTTTTTGCGCACACTGTACGCTAAAAGCTGGGCGCGTGTTGCATACAAAATTTTATGCAATAGGAGACGAAAAATACTTTCATTTAAATGAGGCGTTTTACCGCACACCCGCGTCCAAAATGAGGCATTTTACCGCACACAAGTGTCCAAAAACGCTTTTTGCGCATTACAAAATGTGCGAAAAAAGACATTTTTCGTCATACTATTGCATAAAAAATTTTATGCAATTAGGCAATGTCACGTAATTTTGGCCGCGAGGTGGCAGCGGCGCTCCAAGTCATGTCAGTCACAGAACCGCGGTTCTATAACAGCATTTTTAATACTTTCAGTCGTTAGTTGTGTCGTCTGCTTAGTATCAAAAAATAATACAACAATACGCATGACAATGACTGCGGTTCTGTGACTGACATGACTTGGAGCGCCGCTGTCACCTCGTGACCAAAATTCCGTGATATTGCCTAATAATAGGCGAAAAATACTTTCATTTAAATGAGGCGTTTGACCGCACACCCGTATCCAAAATGAGGCATTTTACCGCACACCAGTGTCGAAATGAGGCATTTTACCACACACTGGTGTACTGTAACGGTGGAAGTTACGAGTGAAGAGGGTACATAGTATTACTAAATAAAATAATTGATACTGCGTTGGTCGCGTTAGCGACCGGGTCCAGTTACCTGAAAAGAAGTCAGAGGGGAAAGTGCACAGGTAAGCAATCGATACGAAAGAATTAGATTAAAAGGAAAATAATTATTATTGAAAAAAATGGATGAATAAGTAAATTACAGTCGTGCTCAGGACGGCAATTAGGTGCAGTACCACGGCACGCGCGAGTGTTCGCTTAAATCAGCGAAGGCGAGTCGCAATGCAATGAGAAAGAAAAAAGTCGATACGGAAGCTGGCACTTACACGCAGTTGCCTCCGTTTGTGACTCCACGACCCATCCACTACGTTGGATTGCAGGGCGCACACATGCACTCGCCCACAATGCACTCGTTGCACTCACTTGACTCACGCGGCGTGATACGACTCGACGCGATTACAGCGGGCTGCGATCAATTAATCAAATCTCTTTAAATTTCGAGCAAGTGAGACCTGCTTACAGTCAGGCCCAAGCTGTACTGTTTGCGTAGCTCGCTGCTTCTTCCGTAATTTCTTACGACGCGCTCGCGTTTCACGCAGTCTCCGACGCGCGCGTGATTCTGTATCTCTCTCCTGCGATCTGCCGTGGTCGCGCTTCTGCACCTGCAACATAAATCTCATGTGTGATTACAAATCGTCATGGCTTTGTGGGAGAGAGAGACGAGATCCTGTCCGGATTCTCGTCACAGTACAAAAACGCTTTTTGCGCACTAAAAAATGTGTGAAAATAGTATATTTTGTAACAAGTGCGCGAAGCAGTTGACTCTTCCAGAAGTTGTTTTCACCCGAGCGTAGCGAGGGTGCAAAGACTCCTGGGTGAGTCAAATTCCTCGCGGACTAGTTGCAAACGATATTTTTTAACCCTGCTTGCAAGGAACTAGGGTTTTCTGACGATTTAAGGTTAGAAAACCCGTGTTTCGCGCACGCAGTGTTAAAAAAGACATTTTTCGTCGTACTATTGCATAAAATTTGTTTTTATTCTTTGACAAGTTTTAAAACTTTTTGTTTCGTGCATTGTAATGATTAAAGTCTCCTATTTTTATTTTGAGTATCGAATATATCGAAACCCAGTTTTTTTATCTCCTTATGTCTTCAGAAATGTCTTTAGAATTTCGTATTAATTTATTCGATGCTAGCGCATCAAATGTTACCTTCAATTTATAAGATTAATTTATTGCGATCGGGGTTCATTAAGTACGATTTTCTCCGGATGTATGGGTTATTTTGTCAAATTAAAGCATCTGGTTACGTCATCGGTGCATCAAGATGAAATGTATTTTCAGAATTCTTCATAAAAATTTTTATCAGAATTTTTCTTGGACACTGCGTGCTTGAAGAGCATATAGGTTTGCCGAAAATACCACCAAATTCTGTAGTAAGTGTTCGAAGTATGTAAACCACTGAATATGAAACCGTTCGAACAAAAGTCCTAGCTGCTACTCTAGTGAAACGCCCCCTCAAACTTTATCAAACCGGCATTGCCGTTATTTCATATTGTTGTTTTTTGGGTTTATTCATTTGAAATATATTAAACTCACTTTAATTCATATTCATAGTTGTACAGTAGGGTGTCCGTTATTTCCCGACTTTTTTGTATTGCTTCTCCCCCCACCTAGATGTCTTCTATTTGATAAGACAATGAGAAAGCCGGGTTATAGAGTTCGAAAAAATGATTTTAAGGTGGCCCCCAAGCGGCTTGAAGCTTACATGTATTTTAAATGGGAAAAACTTAAAAATTTGATTCTCAGCGATAAAAATGATGAAAAAATTTGAAAAAATTCAGCAACCCATGTATTTAATGTATTTTTTGACGAGGAATCGATTGGTGACCTTGAATTTGACCTTGAACATAACCTCAAAGCTACAGAGAATCAAAAATCGTTTTTTTCACAGTGACCCCCATTTTTTATTGCAGATTCGAAAAGAGCGGAAAATTTCATGTCTGATTATGTCTTTCGATTTTTTTTCAAGGGTATTCAAAAGGCGCTGCAGATATAGATAAAGCCCTAACTAGTAAAAACTCGAAAATTGCACGCCAAAATTAGGGTTTTATTTGTATCTGTAGCATCTTTATAATGCCCTTGAAAAAAAATCAAAAGACATAATTTGACTTGAAATTTTCCGCTCTTTTCGAATCTGCAATAAAAAGTGGGGGTTACCGCAAAAAAAACGATTTTTCTCAATATTTTGTTCGCTGTAGCTTTGAGGTTATGTTGAAGGTTAAATTCAAGGTCACCAATCGATTTCTCGTCAAAAAATGCATAAAATACATGGGTTTGCGAATTTTTTCAAATTTTTTCATTATTTTTAACGCTGAGAATCAAATTTTTAAGTTTTTCCCATTTAAAATACATGTAAGCTTCAAGCCGCTTGGGGGCCACCTCAAAATCATTTTTTCGAACTCTATAACCCGGCTTTCTCATTGTCTTATCAAATAAAAGACATCTAGGTGGGGGGAGAAGCAATACAAAAAAGTCGGGAAATAACGGACACCCTATTGTACAGCTTCAAAGAGCAGAAAACTACTTTTAATTTAGATATTTTAAAAACATTCTAAGTCATTAGAACCGGAGATGCTGCTTTATAAAATTTCATCGGCTGAAGAAACAGCTGTATGAGATAGAGTATGAACAGTTTTTTCACTATATCTTCGGTCCTATTGGTCATAAAATGTTCCTAGCCTAACCAAATCAAAGATTATTTTATACTCTCTAAAGTTATATAATTTACCATGGAGGTTACGACAGCTTTATTATGAGTGAAATGACATAAACCGTTACAAAAATGATAAAAATCTAATAATGTCATATTTTTTCGATGTTTCTAAGCATTAGCAAAGAGTACTATTGAAATAGGAAAAGGATTAACACATAATCAGACACAGGTTAATAATAAATATTGACACGTTTGAATATTAATGAATAGGATGGCTTATTACAATAGCTGTACTGCTGGAGATACACTCATGAGCGAACTAACTCTATTGAGGATGTACGTTACGCGTGCACAGTGTTACAAACATAATGTACACGAGTAGCGCGGTATATATGAAAATATGAAATCGTGCATTGTATATCCTGAATATTCAACATGTACAAATTAACCTTTGATTTAGTTAGGCTAGGAACATGTTATAACCAACAGGACCGAAGATATAGCGAAAAACGTTTCATGAAAAAATTGAGAAAAACAAAAAAAGTTTTTTTTTTTAGTTTTGTTCATTGGAAATATACTGAACTCACTTTAATTTATAATTCACATATTTAATATAGGTTCACAGATTTAATATTTACATTATTTGTGAAACTTCATACAGCTATATCTCCGGTTCTATATGACTTAGAATGTTTTTATTGTATCCAAATTAAAAGTAGTTTTCTGTACTTTGAAGCTGTACAACTATGAATATGAATTTAAGTGACTTTAATATATTTCAAATAAATGAACCCAAAAAACAACAATATTAAATAACGGCTATGACGGTTTGATGCTGTTTAGGGGGCATTTCACTAGAGTAGAAGCTAGGATTGTCAATCAAACAGTTTCATAATGAGTGGTTTACATACTTTCGAACACTTACGACAGAATTTAGTGGTATTTTCGGCAAACCTATATGCTTTTCAAACACACTGCGTAGAAACGATTTTTGCGGTAAACTCAAGGTTCTTTAAAATAACGAATGATTTTTTTATATCCGATAGATTTCTAAATACTAAAAAATTAATAATATAAATAATTCATTTAATAAAATTTACATAATATAACATGTTTTTTTATGTAGCATGATTATGGCGCTAGCTTATTAATTCATCAACCATCTCAATTACGCAGATCTTATGGCAACAATATTATAAGCTCGTCCGTGACAAAAAATCAATTAGATTATCGACCAAAATCTAGCTTTAGCAATAGACAAATAGTATCAGTAGAAAAAGTTTCAAGCCAGTATAAAGACTATTCATCACAAAATACTAATTATCATTACAAAAAAATGCAGGTAAACAATTTAAAAATAATGTTACGAATATAAGGTAGTGATTAACGGGTGGGCCGACAAAAATCCGAATTCATAATAAGCGAGTCGATTCGTAGAGAAAAATTCATGAATTATATTGTGTTTCTGTTTTCAAATTATGCTTTTGATTTCCCCCGACATGATAAGTTTACTTTCAAGCAATTTTTAACGTACTCTTTACTCATATAAAAAATATATTTATAAAAAATATATTGCCCAAATAATGGAAGTGTTGCCAAGGGAAATATGACGTTTTTTTTTAGTACTGTTTAATTCAATTGTTATTACAGTACGTACTTTTGTACAAAACCACACACACACACACACACACGTGCCACGGCGCTTGGACTAGAAAGCGAGTAGGACGTGTGTTGCTCGCGCTCCTGTATTTTTAAATCCTAGTGCAGTCATACGTAGTGCCGAAGTGTCTGTGGGTGCGCCAAGTGTGCAGGTTGACGCGCCGCGTCGGTATACACGTGTGTGCAGCTCTGTAGCTGTGCGTGTAAAGCTGTAGTAGTGCTTTTTTTTCCTTTGCTGCGTGTTTTCCCGCGTACTGTGCTGTCGGTGTGAGCTTCGCACGTTGGTGTGAGTGCCTGCCTCGCGCTGTGGTGCGAACGGCGAAAGCGTGTGCGACTCGCGGTATGACATCGGCCGTGAATGACGGGCTGCAGAGCCCGCAGGGGCAGACGTCGGACAAGAGACCCAGCATGCCAAGCCTGGCGGAGCGTGGCCCGCTCTCGTCACCGAGGATGTCTCCTTATACAATGGTGAAGACGATTAAGCAAAAGATAATCGTCGCTCCTTTGCATTGCAAGGAAAAGGACGCCGGGCTCCCGTCTCTCGAGGAATTCGCGACCGGGACCTTGGAGGACAAGCTTGAGCGGATGGACGGCCTTATACGGGGTCTTGGCCAGTTCATAAAAGGCAAGTCCAACCTGCATAAGGAGGTGTTCAGCTACCAGCTGAGCCTTGGTATGGCCCTCTCAGCGCTGGTGAAGTCATTGGATAGCCAGGTGCCGCCTCGCCCTCCTGCAGCAGATAAGGCGGTCCGCACTTCCCGTCTGTTCTCGAGCAGTGAGATGAGCAAGCGGCCTGCAGAATCATCACCGGAGACGTGCGTGCCGCCAAAGCGTAGCGCGGGTGCTTCGGGTCCCACACGGTCGGACGACAACAACAACGTCGCCAAGGACTGCGACAACTACGTCCTTGTGGACCGTCAACGGCGCAAGCCGCAGCCCTCGATGTCAATCAACGATGATCCTGCCCGCCAGGCTTCGAAGCGGCGTCCACCGCATCGTCAGGTTCACCATCGTTCGGACGCAATCATCATCAAGGCAAATGATCCGTCTACGTACGTAGCGTAAATAACATCAGACGCAGCGCCGCGGGTGCCTTAGTGCAGCAATTGAAGAAAGGTGTGCATAACGCCTCCGATCTCGGTGAAGAGCTTGGTAAGGTGCTTGGCGCCGTGGCTACAGACAGTGTCCTGCAGCACACGTCCATGCTCGAGATCAAGGACTTGGACGAGTGTGTCACCAAGGAGGAGGTCACCATGGCGCTGGACACTCTGCTTGGCGTTCCGGTGTCTAAACGCGACCCTGTGAAGTCCCTGTGGAAGGCATACGCGGGAACACAGGTGGCTGTGGTCGCGCTACCGGACAACCTGGCAGCCACAGCGCTGAAGCTCGGCCACATACGGATCAGCTATGTGAACTGTCGTATCCGTGGTCACGAGGAGGCCGCGCGCTGCTACCTCTGCTGGAGTCCTGGTCATATGACTGCTCGCTGCAAGGGTCCCGACCGCACGGAGCTCTGCTATCGATGCGGCCAGAAAGGCCATCAAGCTAAGGACTGCAAAGGCCAACCAGCTTGCGTTCTCTGCCAAGAACGAGGTGCTGACGATCACCGTCATGCCTCCACAAGCTCGAGCTGCCCTCTTGCACGGAAGGTCACCCAAGCCCGCCGATGATGAGAGTCCTCCAGCTCAATCTCAATCACTGCAAGGCTGCCCAGGACCTGCTCGGCGATACCATCAGCAAGCTGCGCATCGACGTGCCCATCCTGTGTGAGCAATACAAGAACCTCACTCCACCCAACACATGGCTCGCCGATGCCGACGGCCAATCAGTTATCTGGGTACAAGAAGGAATCCCGGTTCAGGAGCGCCCGGCAAGAGTGTATCCCTACTTCTCGTGGGCGCGAATCAGCGGAATCTTCTTTTTCAGCGTCTACGCTCCGCCAAGACTCTCTGAGATGGAATTTTCCGCTCTCCTTGCGAACATCACCGAGGAGGCCCGTGGCAAGAGGCCCCTTGTCATTGCAGGGGACTTCAACGCATGGTCGACGGAGTGGGGGTGTAGGGCGACTAGACCGCGGGCACCCATCCTGCTTGACTCGTACCCGATTACTTGCTGAGAATAATTTTCAACTACTTCTCGGCAAGAGTGCTCGACTTCACCACGGTCCAGAATCCTACGAAGTCACAGCAGGTGTCCCACAGGGGTCAGTATTGGGCCCGATCCTGTGGAACGTCAAGTATGACGCGATCCTGCGCCTCAACTTCGATGGCGATGTTCGTATCGTCGGCTTCTCGGACGACATCGCAGTGGTGGCTGTCACCAAGCATCTATGGCAGATCGAACACGATCTGAAGGCTGCTATTCTACAGGTGCGAGGCGCACTCCAAGCTCTCAGCTTACAAACAGCAGACTACAAGACGGAGGCTCTGCTCATCACAAGCAAAAAAATAGAGGAAACCATCACCATCACGGTAGGCGACCACAGCATACACTCGTCCCCCTCCATCCGCTACCTGGGCCTGCACATCGACGCCAAGCTGAAGTTCGACCACAACCTCCGAACAGTCAGCGCGAAGGCAGCCGGTGTGATCGGTGCCCTTACGAAGATCATGCCCAACTCTGGCGGGCCCAGAAGCAGCCGACGTAAGCTGTATGCTCACGTCGTCGACTCCATACTCCTGTATCGAGCCCCCATCTGGAGAACAGCAGCACCAAAGCGAGCCTACATTCGTCAGGCGGAGTCAGCCCACCGAAGAGCCTGCCTGCGTGTGATCGAAGGCTGTCCGCATGTCTCTTACGAGGCCACATATGTCCTTGCCGGCATACCACCGCTGGCCCTTCTTGCGGACGAGTAATGCTTGGCAACGCTAAGCAAGTGGCAGGAAGCATGGGACTGGTCGACGAAGGCCCGATAGACGCACCGACTGATCCCAAATATCAGAGTGTGGATCGAGAGAAGGCACGGAGAGTTGAACTACCACCTCATGCAACTCTTGACCGGGCATGGCTTCTTTAAACACCATAGCCGACGCTACGACCATAATCAAAGCGCGCAATGCTCGGTCTGCCCCTCATCCATCGAGAACGCGGAGCAGGTATTCTATTACTGCCCGAGGTTCAGCGAAGAAAGAGAGAGACTACACTCCCTGCTCCACGAGGTCATGACGCCGGAAAACACCACCGGGCTCATGCTCGCGAGCGAGCTGAACTGGCTCGCGGTTGCTTCCTTCGCCTACTCAGTCGTAATAAGACTGAGAGACGAAGAAACAGACAGAAGGGAATGACCGGACGATGTGGCTGGAAGAAGACGCCACCCCATCCAAGCCATCATGAAGCGCAAAACGCCAATCCCTCCACCCCCGTGAAGTAATGCCTAACGGCGGTTTCCGCGGGGATGGAACAAAGGGAAATTGATGTGGATGTAACTACATAATCTATGTACAGACTAAAACAATATGCTACGTTTCTACTTAATGTAAATTTCTATTTTCTCTTTCTACTAAATAAAACACAGTTACACATCCAAAAAAAAAAAAAAAAAAAACCAACACACACACAATCGGCCTCCTTGGCTCAGTGGGTATAGTTCTTGCCTGCTGATACAAGGATGTGCCGTAGGGCGTGGGTTCGATCCCCACTTGGCGAATTTTCGAGGTTCGTTTTTTCGCCTGGTGTGGTCGAGCCCGTGCCCGAAGTAGAGCGGGTACCACTCAAAAAGAAAACCCGGGCTACGTCATCAGCCTCCGAAGCGGTAAACAACCCCGATCACTGTGCGAGCTGGAAGCGAAAAGGATAACCATAAGTAGGAACCTGAGGCGAGGACTCACAAGGCTGTCAATAGATGGAGCACAACACTCCCATGATGAAGTCAGAAGTGAGAACCACACTCACAAAAGGGTGCCGGATGCGGGAGCTTAGGCTCCTTCCAACACGCATATGATGGCGCCTGAAGCGAGAACCACACTCACAAGACGACAACAGAAAAGGAGGATCAAATACTCACGGAGACTCACAGGGTAGCGCCGGAAGTGAGAACCACACTCACAAGATGTAGCCGACAGAGCAAATGGGGCACTTGCCATCGGCTGCAGAAGCGAGAACCACACTCACAAGATGGCACTAGACAGCGAGTTTCAAAAGATATCTAACTCAGGAGGAGATGCCAGCAATGTGTGACCACGCAGTAGACGGCTCTAAAAAAGGGGATACGACAATCGACGATGGCATCGCACAGGATCGGAGGTTCACCAAGTAGAAAAAAGATGAGTCCCTGAACCCCTAATCGTTGCATATCACTATGCGACGGATGGAGGATGCATGGAAAAATAAAGACTAACATAGAAGTAGCAGAAATGCTCAAATAACGCCAGCCTCACCGAAGCAATGCCTAGCAGCGGATACCGGTGAGTGTCCGAATGGGGTGGAGTAGAAAAAAAACACACACATACACACACACACACACACACACACACACACACACACACACACACACACACACACACACACACATACNAAAAAAAAAAAAAAAAAAAAAAAAAAAAAAAAAAAAAAAAAAAAAAAAAAAAAAAAAAAAAAAAAAAAAAAAAAAAAAAAAAAAAAAAAAAAAAAAAAAAAAAAAAAAAAAAAAAAAAAAAAAAAAAAAAAAAAAAAAAAAAAAAAAAAAAAAAAAAAAAAAAAAAAAAAAAAAAAAAAAAAAAAAAAAAAAAAAAAAAAAAAAAAAAAAAAAAAAAAAAAAAAAAAAAAAAAAAAAAAAAAAAAAAAAAAAAAAAAAAAAAAAAAAAAAAAAAAAAAAAAAAAAAAAAAAAAAAAAAAAAAAAAAAAAAAAAAAAAAAAAAAAAAAAAAAAAAAAAAAAAAAAAAAAAAAAAAAAAAAAAAAAAAAAAAAAAAAAAAAAAAAAAAAAAAAAAAAAAAAAAAAAAAAAAAAAAAAAAAAAAAAAAAAAAAAAAAAAAAAAAAAAAAAAAAAAAAAAAAAAAAAAAAAAAAAAAAAAAAAAAAAAAAAAAAAAAAAAAAAAAAAAAAAAAAAAAAAAAAAAAAAAAAAAAAAAAAAAAAAAAAAAAAAAAAAAAAAAAAAAAAAAAAAAAAAAAAAAAAAAAAAAAAAAAAAAAAAAAAAAAAAAAAAAAAAAAAAAAAAAAAAAAAAAAAAAAAAAAAAAAAAAAAAAAAAAAAAAAAAAAAAAAAAAAAAAAAAAAAAAAAAAAAAAAAAAAAAAAAAAAAAAAAAAAAAAAAAAAAAAAAAAAAAAAAAAAAAAAAAAAAAAAAAAAAAAAAAAAAAAAAAAAAAAAAAAAAAAAAAAAAAAAAAAAAAAAAAAAAAAAAAAAAAAAAAAAAAAAAAAAAAAAAAAAAAAAAAAAAAAAAAAAAAAAAAAAAAAACACACACACACACACACACACACACACACATATCGGCCCCATCGTCTTCGAAATCGAGGATGCCGGGACTTCGACCAGGCCCTCGACGCGCCAGAGCTGCAGGTGGAACGCCCGTGCACTCGATGCAGACCGATTCTCTGCCGTCGTGTCCGGCGCATTGGTCGCTCGAGGGACGGCAGAGGATATGGCGTCGAACCTCATGGACGTCATTACCGGTGCATGCGACGCATCCATGTCCAAGGCAAACCCACGCCGCCGTCACGAGCCGGTGTACTGGTGGACGGCGGAGATCGCTGATCTTCGACGCTCTCGCAGACTCTTCCAGAGATCGCGTGGCCGACAGGACGAGGAAGCCCACAATGCCAACTACGCCTCCGCAAGACTTCTGCTGCGCGTGGCGATCAAGACCAGCAAGCTGTCCGGTGCTGGAGACAGCTTTGCGACGAGGTCGACAGCAACATCTGGGGCAAACCATACAGGATTGCCATGTCGCGCCTGCGATGGCCGCAGACCAAGCAGCCTAGCTCCCCTCTCCTAGTGCGCGGTGCGGTGGCGGCTCTGTTTCCGCGAGTGCCGAGCGGGCCTGCCTCGCAGCTGCCGCGACGGGCGGGAGAGCTAATCCCAGCCGTCACCTTGGAGAAACTCAGGGAAGCTCAGTCGAGGATCAAGGAGCGCTCGGCACCCGGCTCGGATGGCGTATCCAACTCGGCGCTCAAGCTCGCTATTGCCGCACGTCCCGACGTCTTCCTGCGGGTCTACACGATGTGCCTGGAGACTGGCGTCTTCCCGTCTAGCTGCAAGCGCCAGAGACTCGTCCTGATCCCAAAGCCAGGCAAACCTCGCGACGAGCCGTCCTCATATCGTACGCTGTGCATGCTGGACACGGCGGGCAAGATTCTCGAGAGAATCATATGTGACCGTCTGGAGGCTTTCACAGAGAGACCTGGAGGCCTTACGGAGCGACAGTATGGCTTCCAGAAAGGGCGATCAACGATAGATGCCATCGAAGACGTCATTTCCACCGCCCGTGAGGCCATCGCTGGCAAGAGATGGTACCGCGGCACCAAGAAGTACTGCGCCGTGGTGACACTCGACGTGAGGAATGTGTTCAATTCGGCTCGGTGGGACAACATTCTCGCCGCCCTACGCCGTTTGCTCGTACCCGATTATACTTGCTGAGAATAATTTCCAACTAATTCTTGGCAACAGTCCTAGACTTCACCACGGACGATGTTCCAGAGTCCTACGAAGTCACAGCAGGTGTCCCACAGGGTTCAGTCTTGGGCCCGATCCTGTGGAACGTCATGTATGACGCTATCCTGCGTTTCAACTTTGAGGGCGATGTTCGTATCATCGGCTTTGCGGACGACATCGCAGTAGTGGCTGTGTCGCCAAGTATCTATGGCAGATCGAACACGATCTGAACGCTGTCATTCTACGGGTGCGAGGCGCGCTCCAAGCTCTCAGCTTACAAACAGCTGACCACAAGACGGAGGCTCTGCTCATCACAAGCAGGAAAAAAGAGGAAATCATCACCATCACGGTAAGCGACCACAGCATACGCTCGTCCCTTTCCATCCGCTACCTTGGCCTGCACATCGACACCAAGCTGAAGTTCGACCACCGACTCCGAACAGTCAGCGCGAAGGCAGCCGGTGTGATTAGTGCTCTTACGAAGAGCATGCCCAACCTTGGTGGGCCCAGAAGTAGCCGACGTAAGCTCCATACTCCTGTATGGAGTCCCCATCTGCCCACGTCAAAAAAAAAAATCACATACATAAACACAGAGGAATATATCTAAAAAACAAAGAACAAAAAAATTATACATGTAATACAAAAATAATAATATAAACAGAGTATACAAAACCAAAGTACACCTAATTCAGTTGTTCGCACCTTGTATTGATCCCTGCTATGGGTGATGAATTACCGAGTTGAACAATATCTGACCATAACATCTGCCGTCGTGGTTCATCTCGTGAACTGACAAAATGATGTTTTAGATAGTAAAATTATCCAAGGTTGCGTGAGTTGCGTACTGACCTGAACCATCTTTGGCCTAAAGTATACGCTAATCAGAGTATCCATGACACACACGAAGAAAGCTTAACGCAAATATCGTTAATGCTATCATTATGTATGTAGCTCCCATCTGACGTAGTGTAACAGAGACGCAGGCATACATAAGCCAGGCAGAGTCGATCCATCGAGGAGCTTATTTTTACGTCATCTACAATCACCCACGCGCATTGAATGAGGCTACTTATGTTCTAGCCAGCACAGCTCCTATTCCAACTCACTCGACTCGACATCATAAAATTGATCGAGCCAGCGCTACGATAATAATCTTGGCGCACTGTACCTGGTTTGCTACCCTGAAATCGAGAATGTGGAACGCATGTTTTTCACTGCTCACGTTTTGGAAACAAAAATGAGTGGCTTTAGACATACCTCGAAGATCAGAAAGAGCAAAAGATGGAACACGATTTCCAATATGTGCTTGTTGACGGTACCAATGTGAATTCCTAGCTTGTTAAATAATTTATGTACCTACGCTGCCTTCAATTATTCATTTAATTATGTAAATATGCTTATAGTGTACTAAATGACTAATGAATTCAATAAAAGACTTTTTTAACATTACAATGTATTTTATGAATATAAGATCCTAAATGTCTTACGAAATCTGCTTCAAAAACGTTCGTGGGTTTTGAGGCCTATCTTTCCTCTAAGAGAAAGCAATAAAATTTTCATTAACCTTTTTTAAGACTTTACTTGCATTTTTGTTGTAACAGTAATACGATGAAATCATTATCAAGGTTTTTTTATTCGAACAAAAAAACCAGTAGCGTCAATTTTTTAATAATATAATTGTAATTTAATTTAAGCATAGAAGAGCAATTTTGATTTATATATATAACTTATTGTTATTTTACAAGGATGCACGGAACCATTCATCAATGCCTGAATCAGCTAATACGTATAATGATGCGGTTTCCAGAAAGTACCTCCAACGTCAGAAAAAATCAGTAGAAAAAAAATCAGATAATCATTATGGATCAACTGAAAATGTCTGCGGCAAAAATGCATTACATTTTGGGAACAATGTAATGAATAAAACAAATAATGACTCTCGTTTGTCAAAAAATATTGGAAATTATTCACAAAATCACAGTGTCATATCTGCTTCTGCATATAGAAAGTTAAAAAATAGTACAATTGGATGGTAAAATTAAAAAAGCACGAACGAACATTAAATGGAGATTTCAGAAAAAATTATCAGTTTAGTTTAATATGCATGGTCTAAAATAAAAACTTTATATGAAAAATAACTGGTAAATTACTCAACTTTATTCTTAACTCAATTTATTGCCATGCCTGAAATAAAAAAATAAATATCGATTTTAATTAATATAATATCAAAAAGTTTTTTGACTTTAAGGGGACTGGATTCCTGCATAGATTGGGTTTTAATACCTATTAACGATTCAATAACATTATTTTTATCTAATTAACAATTTTTATTGTGGTGGTAAGTTAAACACCTGAATTGAGAAAAAAAGTTCATGCATTCTTCAGTGTAACCTGCTAAATTAATCCTGTTTTATAAAATCCTTTCTTATATCCTGTGCCAAAATTCCTCAGGTCGAGAAACAGCTGAGACTGTAAAATAAGAGCCTAACTATATCTCTATCGGCCCTTTTAATAAAAGCCTAATTATGATTCAAGTTCCCCATATTTCACGCATTTCCAAGTATTTGTGAGAGTCGTCCCGAATAGACGTACTTATTACTCAATGACACTCAACATCTGTGTTTTCTGCGCGAGTAAGTTATCAGTGGATAATTGCGGGATATAAAGCATATACAAGTTGAGAGAGAGCGAGAGAGAGAGATTGATTGATTAGTGTTTTATTGTGGCTCTGAGGTATAACCACATGGGGCCCAACAGCAATTTAAAAATACAGTTTAGTCAATAACAAATTTAATAGAAAGTTAACAGAGGCAAAAGAATGTTATTAAAATTTATATAAAACAGTCAAGATTTTGACAGTTACAAGATCTTAAAGTGGCAAGTGTGCCGCTGTATAACAGCTTTTGGCACTAAGCTTCTCTCAGTTTTTGAAGGTTAGCGGAGGGAAATCAGGCACAAGCCCCCATCCTGTACCGCCGGAACAACTCGTCCAGTCACACTATGAGAGGAAAGGAGTAAAAAGTAATGAAAGTAAAAAGGGAATGAAAAAGGAATTCAGTAGTAGCATATATTTGGATGTATCGGAGCTAAGGAAAATATTTATTGAACGGAGTTGTGAATGAGCTGACAGTTGGATGACAGCGAATAATGAATAACTCGGCAGTGAGTTAGGGTATATGGCTGATGTCAAAAGTCAGCGGTTCGCCATGTTGAAGTGTCACACTGTGAAGGGTATTTTTAGGTTTGCCAAGATTTTCGTGAACCTGAAACAAGGTCCCTTGCTGAGCACACATGGATTGCTGGTCGTCCTGGTCCAGGTCTGAATATGCCGAGTTCACGCATGAATGAGCAAGGACAGCGCAGTCTATGCGCAGTCTCAGTTGTCCGACGCCAAAGTTGATATACATCACGAGGAAGCACAGAAGAAGCGTATATTTACCCCTCGCCCCCGACACCAAATCAACGGTGCCTATGAAGAAAATTCCCTTTTCAAAACTTTTTGACCTAAAACCCACTTTTTAAAGTTTTTAGGGTCATTATAAACAAAAAAGTGCTTTTGCAAATTTTCTCTAAAGTCTATTTTTCACGAGCTATAAACGATTCAAATTTAAACAATTTCAAGCAATGAATCTTTGCGATTTTTTATCTCAATAAGTATGAACTCTACGAAAAATTTAAAAGGAACAAAAAAGTCTTAGAATTTGTCAAGGAAAGCGTATGAATTTTTTCAGATTTTTTTCAGACATATGCCAAAATTTGTAGGTCAGGTTCAGGTCAGGTTCTCATTTTTAGAAATTCTACAATTTTGATTTTGCCCTGAGATACAGCTGCTTCCGTGAGCTTTTTTCGTATAATTTACGTGTTAAAATTTTTCTTCTTTTGCGTTTTCTGGCGAGTAGTGTTTTTGGTTACCGCACGTAACTTTCAGAGGGTACCGATTGATTTTTCTGCACCATGATCGCGTACACTTCTTCAGAACATCAATGCTCACGGCCACCACTACGGCTGAGACGACCGAACACTCAGATTGCTGTACATGAATAGTTAAACACACTTTTTTTTCATTTTTCGTTTTTGCCAAAATTCAAGTCATAAAAGTACATACTTGAGAATATGTCTATGAGCTCAATCGTCTCACCCGTAGTAGTGGCCGTGAGCATTGATATTCTGAAGAAGTGTACGCGACCCTGGTGCAGAAAACTCAATCGGTACCCTTTATAAGTTACGTGAGGTGACCAAAAACACTACTCCCCAGAAAATGCAAAAAAGAAAAGGTTTAACGAAAAAAGCTCACGGAAGCAGCTGTATCTCAGGGCAAAATCAAAATTTTAGAATTTCAAAAAATGCAATAGAAAGGGAAGAAAAAATCCTACTCAAAAATTGAATAAAAAAATTTTGAATTTAAGGTGTATATACTTAATTCTACTGACGCGGTCGAGGTCAATGCGCATGAGATATTGATTTGATGCAAAGAGGATTGCCTTCGTTTTGGCAACATCGAGACTCAGTCCATTGGTGTGCATCGGAAACAATCTGTGAATCTTCGTTGAGTCTCACTATGGTTTCATCAAGCTCCGTCGACGGGCACTATAAGTAGATCTGGAGATCATCAGCAAAGAGTATGTACGTGGACGTGTAGTGGCGAAGCGCATGCGTAAGTGCATCAATGTATGCTGCAAACAGTATGGAAGCGGGTGTGGAGCCCTGTGGCACACCATATGTATACTCTCTGAATGCCTTCAAACCACCTGCGTCATCCATTACAGCTTGTGAGCGGTTCGAGAGATAAGAGTGAAGTAAAGCGAGCGCGACAGACGAAAAGTTCAGCAGTTTTAAAGTTCGCAGTAAGGTCACATGATCCAAGGTATCGAAAACCCTTCGGAAGTCAAAGAGCAAGAGTATGGTGATGAGTCCATCTTCTACGCCTAGTCTAATAACCTCCATGATCCTGATCAAAGCAGTTTGCGTGCTAAAATTCCTCCGAAAACCTGATTGTCTGGGTGAAAGCATATTGCACGTCTAAAGATGCGCAGTCAGCTGGGCCATCAGCAATATATCATAAACCTTTGCAAGATGCGCTAAGTTGGAGATCGGGTCTGAGACGGTGATTGAGTCGCGCGCACCTTGTTTAACGGGCTGATAATTGATTTCTTCCATAGTGACGGATATTGACAGGTTCAAATGGACAAATTGAAGATAGAAGTAAGAGTCGGTGCAAGCAGAGAAAGAGTGTCACAGAAATGCGACAGGGACATTCCCAAAGCACGCACTCCCCCGACCAGCCACCTGAGTCACAATGGCTTTTTTTTGATTTCTTGGAAATTTCGTCTTCTTTAAATCCATATATACTATGATAAAATTCGAGTCAGTGTCGAGTTACCAGTAGTATTTAAGCGCAACACTAAAAATTACTGAAAAAAATTGATTGTTTAAACGTGTCCATGGACTACAGTAATTTTTTTATTGAAATCTAACAAACACCATCGCAAAGTGCTCTTTTCAATGAGTAATTTAAAAAAAATAGAGCTCTGTACGATTATTTTACCGATCTGCCGGTCGTTTTGAAGGTACGATTTGTGTACATGAAATAACCAGAAAATCGTATTGATTTCAGTTAAACGAGGGATTTACGTACTGTGAATGGTTCCTTCAAATCGAACCACAGGGAGTTAAAATGTCGTAGAGAGCTCTATTTTTTTTAAATTACTCGTTGAAAAGAGTACTTTGCGATGGTGTATAATAGATTTCAATAAAAAATGTACTGTAGTCCATGGACACGTTTAAACATTCGATTTTTTTTATTACCTTTTAGTGTTGCGCTCAAACACTACTGGTAACTTGACATTGACTCGAATCTTATCATAGTATATATGGATTTAAAGAGGACGAAATTTCCAATAAATCAAAAAAAAGCCGTGTTGACACGATAAATATAGCCTAACATAGAAGCATTTGAAAATCGACAAAATTTCGATGAAATTTTTTATTGTCGAGTGTATGCTTTCGGTTATGCCTGCGTCGGCGCTTAGTTACCGTAGCTAATAGACCACGGTCGTTTCTGATGAGCTTATAGTCCGGAATATTGCACATTCTTAACGGCAGATTGGGAGTCATCCATGTCTCAACCAGTGATAGTACATAGATGTTTTGCGTCGTCAATAGATCGCGTACTTGCGCGAAATGATCTCGAAACGAGTTGATGTTTATGTGCATGATTGTGATCCTGCCGAGCAACTCCGACAAGCGATCCTGGTGATGCTTAATTACCTTCTTCAGTCATAACAGACTCTCCAGGTCTGACTCCGTCAACAGCTTGATGACATCGGTGCCATCCGACTATCGTTCTTGCTTTCCTGAGTAAATCATGCACAAATTTTGAATGCATTTCATACAATCTCAAGCTACCAGTGGCACCAGGCAAGAGTGCAGAGGCAGGCGACTCTCCGGATCTCTTCTTGAGCTTGAGAACTGAGTTGCGGGAGACTATCTGTTTGAACTGCACGATCATGGAGCGAGCAGCAGATGTATCGGGCTGGCCATCGGTGAGCCGAGCCGACAGCGGAAGCCACCGGACCTTATTTACATCGGCAATGTAGTTATCGGCTCGAATCAGCTTGAGGACTGAAGCGCATACACCGCGCGTTATCCTTATCAGTAGTGGAAACCAGGGCTGACGGGATACCTATAATTTTGAGCTTTGTACGGGGCTTGACCTTGCACAGGTAACGCTCAGCCTGTCGCTGACGAGCCTCCAAAGCCTCGATACGTCCCGTATGGCTCTCAAGGGTTGCAATCGCCTTATCAAGCTTAAGATTGGTAGTAGCAGAAGCAGTTTTGAGTTCAGAGCGAGTGGTCCTAACGTCATTCATGTTCGCTTTAACGTCACCCATAGTCGCCTCCATCCGGGCGAGCACAGCAAACAACTGGGTCACATCACCGGCCGGCTGAGGGGAACCAGTAGTCAAGAGCATCCCCGGGCTCGACATCAAAACAGCAGCAGTCTCCGTGGCGAGAATACCTCGGCGCCAGTCCAGGCTCGAAGTGCGGCACGCCACTCGTGTGGATGCAACCACCCGGCGGTCTCCTCACAACGGGCAGCCGAAGCGTCCGTAGGAGAGG